TGAGGAGGTGAGGAGGTGAGGAGTGAGGAGGTGAGGAGGTGAGAAGTGAGGAGGTGAGGAGTGAGGAGGTGAGGAGTGAGGAGTCAGGAGGTGAGGAGGTGAGGTGTGAGGAGGTGAGAAGTTAGGATACTGGCAGGGGCTGACTGCAGCCTCGTCTGAGGGATCCTGGCATCCACTCCTCGCCATAATTCTTTCCCTGAAACCCTCCGGCTGGGCACACAGCATAGGGCACCCCAGCAGCTTTCCAGTTCTGTCCCTGGCCTGGTTCTGGGATGGCAGGACCTGATCTTTGTGGCCTGGGAATTCCAGAGCCCGGGCCACATAGTGCCCTGAAAGGCCTTTTCCCAGGAAGGGCGGGTACATGGGCCAGCCAGGTCCTGATGAGCCCCGGGATCCCTGTGGCCTAGCCCAGCCTTGCCTGGGGTCAGCTGCGAGCGTCGGGACTGGCCAGGAGTCCTGGGATCCATGGGATGGAGTAGAAATGGCCCTGGACAGAGCGGATGAGATGTGGTGTTCGGAGGTGTTGAGTGAGTGTGGGCTCAGCGCGCCTGGGGCCAGGGGCTTCAGAACCCATCCTCCTCCAGACAGTATCTCCGTGTGGTCCATTTCCTGTGTTAGAACCCCATAGATTCATTTATTTCACCAACCCCCGTCCCCCGCCAAACATCTGCTGTTTAACAAGGAGGTGAGGAAGGTGAGGAGGTGAGGAGGAAGAAGGAAAGCCCTGGGCTGGATTTCTTGGACACTGCCTCATCTTGGTTCATTGCACAGGTGAGGCCAGACTCAGGCCTGATCCAGCTCCCCAGATCCTAGCCCCGGGCACCCTCAGCTCAGCCCCCTCTTCCCACAGGCTTGGGACTCACTCTGTAGGCCCTGGGGAACCTCTGGGGACCTTGTTGGGGGGCCTTCTGCCTGCAGCCACAGCGTTCTTGTGGGGGCAGCCGACCAGATCCAAGCCCGGAGCACTGAAATGAGATTCAGAAGAAAGCTTCATTGCCTCCTGCCCTGAGCCGGTGGCGATGAATAATTTAGACAAATACACATCCCTTTCACAGTGGCTGCCCTGAACCCTTTTAATCAAAATCAGGCCTTTGAAAAATGTTTTTGGAGAACAGGAGGTTGCCGTGAGCCGCCAGGTTCGGGCGGAGGCACCACGCGTGACAGAGACAGTTGCTCAGTCTCCGTGCCCAGAGCCAGCGGCCTCAGCGGCTGAGAGTAAGTCACCTCCCCTTCTCCTTATCAGCAAGGGTCTCCTGCAGGTCCTGGTGGGCTGCTTGCTCAGTAGACTTATATGCAGTTGGCTCCAGGTTTGGGGGTCCTGGTCCTGCCCTGCAGCAGAACCCTTCATTCTGGGATTTGGGGAGCTGTCATTACACGCTCTCTTGCTTGGAGATGGGCTGGAGGTGGATGTCCACACTTGTGACCGTGCCGGTGCCCCGGGCCTCCTGGAGGACAGCTGGGGGTGCCCAGAGCACAATGGGCATGCAGGGCTCAAGGCCTGGGTTCCCTGGCTGGGGACGTGGGTGTTGTTGGGGGTTGGGGACATGGGTACCATTGGAGATCTGGAGGTGTGGGCACCTTTTGGGGTTCAGGGAATGGGTGCCTTTGGGGGTCTGGGGGCGTAGGTGTTTTGGGGGGTCTTGGGTATAGGTATTTTTGGGGGTTGAGGGCATGCGTGTTGTTGAGGTTCTGGGGGTATAGGTGTTGGGGTTCTTGGGTTGTAGGTATTGGGGGTCTGGGGCTGTAAGTATTGTCAGGGGTCTGGGGGTGTGGATGTTGTCGGGGTCTGGGGGTGTGGGTGTTGTTGGGGGTCTGGGGGCATGAGTGTTGTTGGGGGTTGGGGTCATGGTTGCCATTGTAGGTCCGGAGGTATGGGCACCTTTTGGGGTTTGGGGCATGGGTGCCTTTGGGGGTCTGGGGGTGTAGGTGCTGTCAGGGGTCTGGGGGCATAGGTGTTTTTGGGGACCTCGGGATGTAAGTATTTTTGGGGGTTAGGGGCCTGGGTGCAGTTGGGGGTTGAGGGCATGGGTGTTTTTGGGGTTCTGGGGGTGTAGGTGTTGGGGTTCTAGGGCTGTAGGTATTGGGGTCTGGGGCTGTGGGTGTTTTCAAGGGTCTGGAGGTGTAGGTATTGTCAGGGGTCTGGGGGTGTAGGTGTTAGGAGTCTGGGGGTTTGAATATTGTCAGGGGTCTGGGAGTATGGGTGTTGTTGAGGATTGAGGGCATGGGTGTTGGTGGTTGGGGGCTGTAGGTGACAGGGGTCGGGTTGTGGGTGTTGTCAGGGGTCTGGTGGTGTGGGTGTTGCTGGAGGTTGAGGGCATGGGTATTGTCGGGGGTCTGGGGGTGTAGGTGTCAGGGTTCTGGGGTGTAGGTGTCGGGGGTCTGGGGGTGTGGGTGTTGGGGGCCTGAGGGTGTGGGTGGTGTTGGAGGTCTGGGGGTGTGGGTGTTGGGGATCTTTAGGTGTAGGTGTTGTTGGGGGTCTGGTGGTGTGTTTTGGGGGTCAGGGGTAGGTGTTGTTGGGGATCTGGGGTGTAGATACTGGGGGTCTTGGGGTGTGGGTGTTGTCTGGGGTCTCGGGATGTAGGTGTTGTTGGAGTCTGGGGGTGTGGATATTATCTGGGGTCTGGGAGTATAGGTGTTGTTGAGGGTTTTTGGGTGTAGGTGTTGGGGGTCTGAGGGTATGGGTGTTGTTGGGGGTCTGGGGGTTTGGGTGTTGTCAGGGGTTTGGGGATGTTGGTGTTGTTGGGGGTCTGTGGGTGTGGGTTTTGTCAAGGGTCTGAGGGTATGGGTGTTGTCTGGGGTCTAGAGGTGTAAGTGTTGTTGGGGTCTGGGGGTGTGGGTGTTGTTTGGGGTCTGGAGGTATAGGTGTTGTCAGGGTCTTTGGTGTAGGTGTTGTAGGTCTGGGGGCGTAGGTGCTTGGGGTCTGGAGCTGTGGTGATGACAAGGGTCTGGGGGTGTGGGTGTTGTCAGGGGTCTTAGGGTGTGGGTGTTGTCGGGGGTCTGGTGGTATGAGTGTTGGGGGTCTTGGGGTGTGGATATTGTCCAGAGTATGGGGGTGTGGGTGTTGTTTAGGGTCTGGGGGTGTAGGTGTCAGGGTCTGTGGGTGTAGGTGTTGTCAGGGGTCTGGGGGTGTGGGTGTTGCTGGGGGTCTGGGGATGTGGGTGTTGGGGGTCTGGGGTGTAGGTGTCAGGGGTCTGGGGGTGTGGGTGTTGTCAGGAGTTTGAGGGTCTAGGTGTTAGGAGTCTGGGTGTGTAGGTGTTGTCAGGGGCCTGGGGGTGTGGGTGTTGGGAATTTTTGGGTGTAGGTGTTGGTAGTCTTTGGGTATAGGTGTTGTTGGGGGTCTGGGGGTGTAAGTGTTGGGGGTTTTCCACTGTGGGTGTTGTCAGGGGTCTGAGGGTGTGGGTGTTTCGGGGGTCTTTGGGTGTAGGTGTTGTCAGGGGTCTAGTGGTGTAGGTGTTGTTGGAGGTCTGGGAGTGCAGGTTTGGGGTCTGGGCCATGGGTGTTTTCCAGGGTCTGAGGGTGTGGGTGTTATCAGGGGTCTGGGGGTGTGGGTGTTGCCAGGAGTTGGGGGTGTGGCTGCTGTTGGCCACGTGCCCCATTTATTGCTGCTGATGGAGGCGGCTGTGCCCAGGAGGCTGGGTGGTCAGGACATTTTGCACATCAGAGACACCTCCGTGTTGTTTTCCAGCCTCTTGCTGCTGACAACGGCGGTCTGTCTGGGGTCTCGGGATGTCCTCTGTCTCTGAGGTTTTCTGCCTGCTCAGCCCAGCACTGGCTCCCTATTTATTTGGCCGGAGGACCCGTCCTTCCACCCTCTGTCAGCACTCTCTTGTTCAGGGCTCTCCCCCAGTGTGTGGCTTCATGATGCCCACAGGTCCCCCTGTGCAGCTCGCTGGCTCCTGGGGTCTCCTCTGCTTGGATGTGTCTGCCTGGCTGGTCCCGCTGTCGGCTGTGACAAGCCCGGGAAGCCCATCTGTGGACCTGGGCTTCTCAGAAGCGACATTCTTCATGGAGGGAACTAACGGTGGCTCGCTGTTTGTAGCTCACAGAAACCATTTCCTCCTGTATCTGCTGCTGTAATTTGCTTTGTAATTTCTGAGAGGGCTGATGTTCCCGTGTCCCCTTCCGGCACACACCCCTCCCTGTGAGGTGGGCTCCTGTTCACCCTGCCTTGGCCTCATTAGTCCTCTGTCCTTGGCTGGCTTGGCCTCTCACCTGGGTATGGGAGATGGGTCAGGCCTGTGCCATGATTGGTCAGGCCCAGGTCTGGGCAGAAGCAGCCACCTCCATCCTGGCCTGGCCACCTGCACTGGCTCCCAAGTGGCCCTGTGGGAGAGGACTCTGGCCAGAGCAGGGCCTGTGGTTTCTCTCTCCATTTCTCACCTATGCATGCCTTTTTCCAATTTTTAGTCTTTTTGTTTTTTTGAAAGAGTGTCTTGTTCTGTCACGCAGGCTGGAATGCAGTGGTGAAATCTTGGCTCACTGCAGTCTCCGCCTCCTGGGTTCAGGTGATTCTCCTGTTTCAGCCTCCGAGTAGCTGGGGCTACAGGCACCCACCACCACGCCCAGCTAATTTTTGTGTTTTTAGTAGAGACAGGTTTTCACCATATTGACCAGGATGGTCTCAAACTCCTGACCTCAAGTGACCTGCCTACCTCAGCCTCCCAAAGTGCTAGGATTATAGGCATGAGCCACCATGCCTGGCTCAAGTTTTTAGTCTTAAGAAACTACTTTTTGGAACAGTTTTAGGTTACATCGAAATGCAGAAGAGAGTCCAGAGAGTCTCCCCACGCCCCACCCAGTTCCCCGTTATTGGCCTGTGCTGTTCCCACGGTGTGTGTGTCACAGCTAAGAACCGATGCACATGCGTCATTGCGAACTAAAGCCCAGCTGGGTTCCGATCTCCTCTGTCTTCACTTGGTACCTTCCTCGGGTGGAGGATCCCGCTGGGACCCCACGTCTCCACTTCCATCTGCTCACAGGACAGTGCTCTCTCCCTCCTTCTCACCGTCTCCTCGTCTGCATTTAAGGAGTGAGGAGTTAGGTTCCCTCTCCCTGATGGTGGACTTCAAAGAAAGGTTAAAACCACCTGTACCATTTTGCTCACTGGCTTGGCTGCATTTGTCATCATAGGTTGAACGGTGGCCACCCAAAGGTGCGCCGGTGCCTGGAGTTGTGCAGGGGCCTTATCCGGAGAAAGGGTCCCCGCAAGTGTGATTCAGGATCTTGAGACGAGGAGGCAATTCTGAATTATTCGAGTGGGACCTGCACCCAGTGACGTATCAGGGGAAATTTTTAAAGAGAAAATATGAAGGGTATTTGAGACAGACAGAGGAGGAGCCGCCCTGAGCATGTGCAGGCAAAGGCAGGAATGGGGTGACATGCCCTGGCTGAGGAAGGGCCATGGCCACTGGGAGCTGGAAGAGGTCAAGTGGAGCCTCCCCTAGAGCTTCACAAGGAGCACAGCCCTGCCAGCATCTTCATTTTGGCCTTTGGGCCTCCAAAGACCAAAATCAGCCTTTTGAACGATGCTTGCAGATAGCAATGTTATAAATAAACTTTTGGTGCCACAGAAGAAAGAGTGCTCAAATATAAATTTTCCCAGCAAGGCAATTTTCTTCTATAGCAGAGTGCATCTCGTGGATGGCACAATGGCGAGAGCACACCTGAACGGGGGAGGGGACGGGGTTCTTGTCCCCAATGCAGGGAGCCCCTACTGCTGTGTCGTTCCCTTATTGGCTAGAGTTGGACCACACGGTCAAAGTTAATTCTGATCGGCTATTTTAAAGAGAGCAGGGGTACAAGCCAGAGTGGCAGGATGAGTAGTTGCAGCGGCAAAGATGGTTACGGAACAGGTAACTAAAGGTGACTCAGGTCAGAGCAAGTGACCAGGGGTGATTCAGGATGAAGCAGGTGACCAGGGAAACAGATGTGAACTACTGATTAGAACTGGTGGAAATGTTGTTTACTGAAACTAGGGGCAGGGAGATGAAGAGAATGAGGAAGTTCAACTTTAAAATGGAGGACAAAGAACTGAACGTACTGACGTGCTGACTCTTTGAAGGGAAACTTAGAACTCACTGTACTGAACAGTTTCCCCTCTTGAATCCTCCAGTTCTTTCTCTTCAGACTTCCCTGGTATGTCTTGGCTTAGTTGTTTTGCTTGATTCTCTAAAAGAAGCTTTTTTGAATAAGGTGGAGGAGAGTTAAGGCAGGTGCTAATAAGTGCTGTTTCTGTGGTTCTTCGCGCCAGCCACAGAGGCATGGTGTGGCTCTTCGCACCAGCCACAGAGGCATGGTGTGGTTCTTTGCACCAGCCACAGAGGCATGGTGTGGTATGGCACCGACAAGAACGAATCCACCTGTTATGTCTGTGAGAGAAGTAAGAATTGAGGCTGTGATTCCTTTTTATTTACCAAACCATGTTTTAAGCCGCCCTGTGAAGGGGTCATTTACCCCTGAGTTTTTGGATAGACAGTGAGGCCTTGTAATGACTTAGACCTGACTCGTTGGATGGAGCAGGTAGACCTTGCAGTGCCTTTGGTATACTTCCGTTGGGGCAGTATTGTTTTGGGTGAAGGTACAACATTGAGTTTTAACAATGATGCAAATTCCTCCTCTTCTTGCTAATATTTTATCTAAGGCTATTGCATTTTTTTAAGCCGTCTGGCTAGTAGTCTTTAATTGCTCGGCCATTCCTTTAACAGCATCTCTAGTAAGTTCATAAACTGCTGTTGATTGTAATAAATGTGATTTATCCAATCCACGTTTTTATTACTTGTAACCCACCAGAATATTGACTCAAATTCTGCAGCTACTTGACTTCGGGCTTTACATTTATCTGGTACTC